GGCCAAAGAACCCCGTCACAGTGACCCAAATCATCACTGTTACTGTTATTATATAGTAAATTAAATCATTACTGTTAAATTGTATGTATTGTCCAATTGTTTATTTGAATTCTTATTCCGGGTTAGTTGGAGACATACACTAGGCTATATCAGCCCCACCAAAAATATTTTTCACCAGCCGCCACTGCGGTGTATATATGGGAGACAGAAACAACGACCAGGCTAATCAGCAGATTGGGAGCAGATGTGGACAGAGGAATCTAGAAGGGCGCTAGGAGAAAATGAGACTGAGACATGAATGCAACAGAGGGCAAACAAGAAATACGTAAGATCTCAATACAGTCAAAATAACTAGAACACCACAAAATGGAAATAAACCCAATGAAAGATAAAACTTAAACAGAACCGAAACCATGACAGTAAATACATGATTTCTCAGCAAGTTCAAAACAGATGAAATGCTGCCTGCAGCAAAAGCAAAAATTGCAATTGAAGAAAATACAGAGCTGCAAAGAAGAAACATACTGCAAACACAAACCCATCTGAAAATTGTTGTTTTTGCAGCATGTCTCCGCTCAGCCGATCTGTTTTGTGTGATTGCAGCTTTTCTACTTTGCAACTTTCTTCCTGTCCATGTGTTAAATGTGTGTATGTGTTTTAATCTCATTGATATCCTGATAAGCATAATAATTGAATAATTGAACTTAATTGATCTCACATTGGAGAAATTTACCTCTGCATTTAACCCATCCCCTTGGGGAGCAGTGGGCTGCCATCATAGGGAGCCAGGGGAGCAGAGTGGGGTTAAGGGTCTTGCTCAGGAACCTTGAGTGGAGGCTGTGGGGATCAAACTGGGTACTTGCAAACTTCTTAGAGCACAAGAGCACTGCTCTAATCACAAGGCCAAGACTCCCACTAAAATAATTACACTTTATTGTCTGTGGGAATGGGAATGGGGCTCAAACTCAGAACCTCAGGATTCCAAGCTCTATGCCGTTACCACTAGGCCCCCAGACCCCCATTTGAATTTGAAAAACTCACACAAAAACAAACATTAGCTCTGTATTCTGTTTTGATAGATGGAGTTGGTCAGTCTGTAGACTGTTGGCTGGCAAGACGGTCTGCTTGAGCTGTATGAAGAAATCCGGTGGTCTGCGTGAGCTGACACTAGCGCTTCACTCAGAACCTGGAAGATGGAAGATCCAGCTTGGCTAACACAGGTTGTGTGAACCTGTCCATGATGAGCAAGCATGAAGCGACAGTGGAGAAGAAAAACTTCCTATTTGGGGAGAAACCTCTGGCAGAACCAGGCTCAAACCGGTTGAGATGAGACAGGGAACGCAGTAAGAATCCGGGAGGAATGAAACTCTGATGAAGCTTTAGCTACAGTACGATAGTGGAGGAGGGGGTGGAGGCAACCACTGCCTGCGCTTTGGGTAGCAGATAAGTTGTGGATTTGGAGACCTTATAAGGAGAACTCTGATGATGAGGTTAAGTAATCAGTTTCTTCAGTTGAACTGTTAAATTGTGCAGGTGGATAAATCAGACAAAGCAATTATAGATGTTGCAATCAGAAGAGATTTATTGAACAAGGAGCACGTGAAACTTGATAAACATCATGTTCTCATGGAAACAGAGAAGTTGTGGAAATTTGATGCCTGAAATAAAATAATGGTTTACTTGTATCTTTCATTTGTTTAACTGAAAGATAAAAGGAATGGAAATGAAAAAACTTGCAGATCAAACAGTTAATTTAATGTTAATTTTAATGTAGTTGTTAAATAAAAATGCAAAAAATTCCTGCTGCTATCTCAGAAAGTGAGGCGTCTGTGACGCCCTGTCTTTGTGAAAGGAGTCTCTGATGTATCCAAAGTGGTCCAGTAGCATGATAAAGATAAATCCTAATAACAGAGTTAATTTCCCATAAATGTATTTGTTAACATCTGGATGTGCACTAATACCTTTTTCTTCTGAATGGAAAGTTGTATTTTTTGTGTCAAAGTTGGATGTGGGTAGGCAGCACCTTAAGGCAGGGGACCCCAATAAAAAATCAGCGGGGTCCGAATGAAATGAAATCATCCATCAGTAAAGGTCCGGAGACATTTTTAATTATAATCCATTACTTTAAACAGAATTTAACACTGAACTAAAACGAGGTGTTTATGCATCCATGTTATACATTGACTTTCAAAAAAAAAAAAAAAATATATATATATATATATATATATACCGTATTTTCACGACCATAAGGCGCACCGGACTAAAAGGCGCACTCTCAGTTATGTGTCCCATTTCTGTATTTAACACACACATAAGGCGCACCGGACTATAGGGCGCGTTTTTTATATACAGGTACAAGTCCTCTACTACGTTTAAATACCTCTACTGCGTATTTAAAAATACAGCGGGGGCAAAACTGAGTATGACTGTGCTTTATTCATGTATTTATTACAAAGTATTAATCAAACCTGGCAGCTGGCCGTGAGACAGAGACATCAGCGCTGTGGTCACTCCTAAATTAACTTAAAATCCTGAAACCTGCTGACGGAATATGTTCGCTTTTATTGCCGGTATCCTGGTGCCTGCAGCTAAAATTATTTAGATGAAAAACACCTGCCAGCAGCCGCGGTGAACCCCAGGCTGCCCAGCCTACAGGCTGCTGATGAAGAGATTTCTGCTGTCAGCGCACCGCTGGTATGTGGGGGTCTGAGCGCCTCCGACAGAAATAGATAATCTGGATGAACTGACTGCAATTATGAAGTTTTCAGGTGGACTTTCTCACTTAAAAACATATTAAAACTACTTTATTCCCACTGATCACAGCAAATATAGCTGCAAGATTTAGATTATTTAGATGAAAAACACCTGCCAGCCACCGCGGTGAACGAAAGGATTTCTGCTGTCGGTGCACCGCTGGTATGTGGGGGTCTGAGCGCCTCCGACAGAAATAGATAATCTGGATGAACTGACTGCAATTATTAAGTTTTCAGGTGGCCTTTCTCACTTAAAAACATATTTATACTTATTTATTCCCACTGATCACAGCAAATATAGCTGCAAGATTTAGATTATTTAGATGAAAAAACACCTGCCAGCCACCGCGGTGAAGCGGAGGAGACGCGCTCAGAGGCTGCCATTGAATTAAGCTTTCAGGTAGAAAAATAGAGCGGGAGCAAACCTGAGTATGATTGTGCTTTATTCATGTATTTATTACAAAGTATTAATCAAACCCATCAAAGTCATCATCCTCTGTTATCCTCAGCATTCCTCTGAATAAAACAGCTGCACTAAATCAGACATGCCAGTTTCCCCATCTGCGCTGTCAGTCACTTTCCGTGCAGCGCAGCTCCTCAGAAATAATGCCGGCTTTTGCGAAAGCTTGAACAACAGAGCCAGCAGACACTTTAGTCCAAGCATCTACAATCCATCCGCAAACGGTGGCGTAACTTGCCCGGCGCTGCCTTCCATTTATCCTGAAACTGTGGTCTCAGTCTGTCATCCATCGCTCCCACGCCGCTCGCAGCCTTACTGTGAACGGCCGCTTCAAACCGATGTCGAGCGGTTGAAGTTCCTTTGTCAGACCCCCGGGATAACGGCGAGCACAGCGTTCACCCAGCCTTTTCATTTGCGTTAATATCATATGTCATCAGAGCGCTGTCTGTCTCGCTGCCAGCTCCCAGATCAGCTTCTCTGATTGGTTGATGCGGCGCGTCCAGCAGCAAAACTTCAATTTTTCCATCTGAGCAGCAGCAGCGCGTTGGCGGTGCATCAGATGCTTAAACGCCCCCGACGTGCTGCACCAAAACGCGCTGCAGGACCTTTTGCTGCGCCTATACGCGCGTCAACCATTGACTTTGCATGTAAACTCGCTGCTTCTGCTGCACCTGCTGGGTCCGGTTCACACCGATGTCGAGCGGTTGAACAGCGAGCACAGCTTAATTTGTTTCACCATGTTTTTCACATCAGCTGTGAGATGGGCACGCATGGAGTTACATATTAATGGTGATGAGTGGAAAAAAAAACACCTGGTCTCCTTACATTCAGCCACTCTTTCATCATCTCCTCAATGAGGTGGTCTCAAAAGTCGCAGTTACAACACACATAGGGCGCACCGCACATTTTGAGGGAAAAAAAAGACGTTTAAGTGCGCCTTATAGTCGTGAAAATACGGTATATATATAAATGTATCCATTTTAATATCTAAAGTAAAGAGCTATCGTTCAGTTTGGTATATAGACAATTTCCTGCTTCACATATTTCATCAAACCCCTGAACTGATCGTTTGTTATTTTTCTTTCTTTTTTCTGTCTTAATGTTGCCAGTGGGCTTTAGGCTGCCCTGCAAGGCTTTAAACCTGGGTTTAACCGGAGACTAAGCCATTCTCAAGCACATATCAAGGAGCTCATTTTGAGCCTGGATCCAGATTTATTGTTGGTTCTGTTCATGGTGGAGAATCCTGCTTCACAGCAGCAGGTTGAGCCAAACATCCTCTAAATGTGCAGGGTCATCTTTGAGCACGCCATTTCACTTTTCTTTCACCAGTTCACCGCAGTTCTTCCAGTAGTCCACACTTTCTCTGCTCTCTTTTTCTCATGGTCTTCTCCTTCTTTCCCATCGCCCGGCTTGCCACAGGTTTGCCTGCTGTGTCTAAAAGTAGCAGCAGCAGCAACCCAGACTGACAGCTCATTGGCTCATTTGGATCACGTGCAGCCTGGAGCCGGACGCTCCCCAGGGCTTTACCGTATTAACAGGAGAAGAGGCGCAAGTGAAGTTAGACACTGTTGTCGGACAGCATGCAGTAATTTATAAATGTTTTAAATCAAGTTGGGGCCAGGTTGGCCAACAGGTGGGTACAGATCCAGACCGAGGTCCTCTAATCTGTGACCTCTGCCTTAAGGTCTGATTTGTTTAAATGAAGAACTAATAAAAGTATGCATTAGATTTAAAAAAAGCATCAAACAAAGCATTAACTACCTAAAAAATCAACAACATTGACTTACGTTTTTCCTCGGCTGAAGAGGTGTTGGCGCAGTAAAAAGGCCAAAGTGGAGAGAACCATGATGGTTGTGCACATGGTTCTGAAACCCACAAACCTCCTCTAGTGGAAACAGACAGCAGGTTCAACACCAGCTTTCCATGGTGCTTAGAAAACACAACCAAAGACAGGAGTTCTGTTCCTGTCAGCAGGCGTCTGTCTGTCCCCCTGTCCTGCTGCATGGATCAGGAGCACTGCAGGATTAGCCTCTGGTAGATTACACAAGATGTAATGCAACATAAGCTATGCTGTGGTGTGGGAGCATTCATAATTCATTGCCAAGTTTCTAATCAACATCAACACCTTCATGTATTCTTGAACCGCGTTGTCTTAATCAACCACCTACCATTGAGGTTCATGCACAGCAGCCCTGTTAACCCACACATTCAAAGCTCTAATTTCCTTTATAAAATATTCATCCTTATTTGCTATTTACAAAGCTTCTACTTCTGATTTAGATTTTGTGACCTTTTTTGGAGATTTAGTGCAACTAAATTTAGTGAATTCTGTATCAGAGGGTGGTACAGCAAAAGCTTTCAGTGTCACTCAAAGAAGACACTTTGCAAGTAAGGTTTAACTCTGCTGGATTGTAAAAGGACATTTAATGACATAGAGCCACACTTGCTATATTTATAAAAATACTGGAGTATATTGCAGAATGAATATTAGACTTTTTCAACATATCATGACAGACTTAGGCTAAGACAAACTTTGTTCTCATTTTGTATACACCGAGCAAAATTTTGATGTGTACAGCTTTCCACAGTGAATGAGTAGCTTACAACAGTGAAATGTACATTACCGTTTATAAAGTGCAGCACTAATCAAGAATGTAGACCAGGGGTCCCCAAACTTTTTCCTGTGAGGGCCACATAACTTTTCCCTTCTCTGATGGGGGGCCGGGGTCAGTTTGTAACAGAAAAATTGTGACGATTGCAAGAGTGCCTAAATTTATGACGGGATTTATGTCTTTATGACGGGAGTCATAGTGTCTCCGCAGGTTATATTTTTTGAATACCGCCACCGCCTCTTGACAGATGAGACAGACAGCCTTTTCTTTACATTGAACAAAAAAAAATATTGTTTGTCCAATTCAGGTTAAATGCCCTGCATTCTGAATGAATTTTTGTCTTACCGTTTCTTTTCGCCATTATTCCGTTCTCTCTTTACGGAAGAGGATTAGGGCCAAAAAAAGACTATTCAATTCTGACTTTTTTTTCTTAATTAAAGTCAGAATTCTGACTTTTTCCTCAGAATTCCGAGAATAAAGTCAGAATTCTGAGAAAAAAGTCAGAATTGAATAGACTATTATTTAAATTTTTTTGATTCAATTCAATTCAGTTTATTTATATAGTTCACAACACACGTCATCTCAAGGCACTTTACAGTTCAACCAGATCATACAGTCAAATTGATACAAAGTTTTCTATCTAAGGAAAACCAGTTGATTGCATCGACTCATTGACTCAAATACAATCCCTCACACTAAGCATGCTTGTAGCGACAGTGGAGAGGAAAAACTCCCTTTGAACAGGAAGAAACCTCCAGCAGAACCAGGCTCAGTGTGAGCGGCCATCTGCTGAGGCCCACTGGGGTTCAAGGAGACAGAAGCAGACATAGAAAAAGAAGCAGAGACACAAAAAGCAACTGTAAAAGGCGGCCCCGTCCAGGAAACACACAGCCAGGCAGACGAGCTCCAAGGCAGCTCCCATGCCAGAGGATGAAGAGAGCACATCCACTGAGTCACGGTCAGAGAAACAGGACTACACTGGAAAACAGGCCGATCTCCAACATCTTTGAATGGCCCTTATCCTCTTCCGTATCTCTTTGAGAGGGGTGGGTTTAAGATTTTATGCTGGGGTTGCCAGATAGGGGCACAGACCCCAAAAGGGTGGAACATTGTCGCGTTATGTGTATGAAATAGTTACTAATAGTTAATAATGAAAAAATTTCAAATTAAGGAACATTTTTATTGCAAATGTCCAACTTTATTATCAAATACAAAAAAAAAAAAAAAACACTTATAAGAAAATACTCTCTGGTATTGTTCAGGGGGCCAGACCAAGTGTGGAGGCGGGCCGGATCCGGCCCACAGGCCGTAGTTTGGGGACCACTGATGTAGACCATGTTGGAGAAACGGTAAAAGACTTTAAAGTTGTTAGGTTTATTCTTTTATGCATCATGTGCATTGTTACTTTGTTAGCCAGATAGAGAGAGTAGAAGGCCTTCCTTCACATTGTGGATGTCACTGTGTGTACGGAGGTCATCTAAATAGGACAGCCTTCTTGTCTTTTAAAGACACACAGGATATGGACACTTCTTGGAGCCGGACTGATAGAGGAGATGTATCTGTAATCTTGGGCATAGAGGCAAGATGCATACAGGTCAGGGCATGGATGGCGTGTCAGGTTTTCCTGGTCACTAACATGTGTTCCCTACCTTAAGACACCATAGCCGCTGCTACTGCAGAGCCGCAGATTGTTTACATTAAATACACGCTTTTTGTATAACTCCACTGTGTGTCTTGCCCAGAGGTGTCAAGTAACAAAGTACAAATACTTTGTTACTGTACTTAAGTAAACCTTTTAGGTATCTATACTTTACTCCATCACTTAGTTTCCTTCCTACTTCTGACTTCTACTCACTACATTTTTACACAAGTATCTGTATTTTCTATTCCTTACATTTTTAAAACAAACATTAGTCATTACTTTTGGCTTCGGTTTAATGTTTCTAAATATTTATTTCCCGTCATGTGCTCCATCCAATGCAGATCATTGGCTCCATCCACATCTAGTGAAAACTAGTGTGATTGGATGAGTCATAGAACGCAAACACTCATTGGTTAGCTAAAGGAAACCATCAGAAGCAAGCAGGTGTTCTTCAAACTGCTAACGTGAATTGTCTATGCCATGCTACAATGTGGGATTCAGAAAAAGATGTTGAAATGTCTGAAAGGTCGGACACAGGCGAGAGCGTATCGGGGGACAGAGACCAACAAGACCTCCCTCATCCTCGGCCCTATCTCTAAGAATTTTTCAAAAAAGTCATAAAATTGAGCTTTAAATTCATATAGTGGCATCTGGCTGGTTTTTTAAATGTTACTTTATACTTTTATACTTCAAGTAGTTTTTGAGACACATACTTTTTCACTTTTACTTGAGTAAAGAGGTCAAGTTGATACTTCAACTTTTACAAGAGTGTTTTTAAACTGCAGTATCTATGCTTCTACTGAAGTAACAAATGTGTGAACTTTTGACACCTCTGGTCTTGCCTGAACACTGGGTCCTCTGTTCTGAGTCTAGACAAAAGCAAGATGCTTTATTCCATTCATCATCAGCTTTGATCATTTTATAAACACTCCTCTGTTTGGTGCTACTCTGTGCTGGTTTATAATATAAATTGCTATAGAATACTGTGGAGAATGAAATGGCAAACTGTTCAAAGGGTGTGAATACTTTTGAAAGGTGAAATATGCCAAAGCACTCACTGTGCTTGAGTCTGTGTAAGGATGTCTTAATGCTTTATTGATGAAAGGAGTCAATCACTGTTACTGATCACCTTGTGACTTAAATCCATGGGAAAAACAAAAACATTTCAATAACACTGGGAATTAACTCAGCGCTGCTTCTATGTACTACAGTATTTTAGACTATAATAGATCATCAATGCATCCATTGAAGGACACCAAACATCTCTTGGCAGACTCATTTCGATGTGTTTCATGCAGGAATATAACACATCCTGTTTACCAGATGACTTTATATTTCTTGTGTAGAAAAAGAAATGATCTGCCGAGCAGCAGATTGCTTCTGTTTCGCAGATGTGTTGACTGTCTTTTCTTATTTTCATGATGTTACTCAGTAAACTAAGAGGAATTTCCGGCAATTTGTTACACTTCCAGATCCTGTTTGATGACCAGAGAAAGAAAGGAACAAGCACCCTGACAGAATAATCAGGATGTCTCCATGGCACAGACAGGCTATAAATACTCACATAAACCCAAACACATCCAATCTTTAGCTTCCCTTTTAGCCATCCGGCTCGACTGGCGTTATATTTCTTCTTGGCAGCGAGACGTGGATTTTCTTAAATCCGTAATGTTTGTCAGGGCCTCTGCTCTGGTGCATGCAGAGCACACAGATAGACCCTCACACAGAGAGCTTTAGAGAATGTCAAGTTGCAGCGATGTGGCTGTGCATCTCTTTTGTAGCTTTAGGGCAAGCTCATGACACCTAATTAAATAAAATAACTAATTATTCAAACTTGTGTCAGTGGAAAGCTGCAGCCACTAAAAAAAGTATGGGTTAAGTTTCACAGAGTATTTCTTTCAACATGAAGGATTCAAGATAGGTTTGTTTTTTTTACTAAGTCATTCTAAGTTTCCTTACTAAACAGGGCTAACATTAAAATTGTATTGCCCCATTTTTTTGGTTTTTGACTCATCAAAAATTGTGATCTAATTACATGAAATAGATTGATAAGGAAACACAGAAAAATGTAACTCTGGCGTAAACGGTGCTAATTTAGCATCTTTCCTGAGTACGCGTCGGACGGTCGCAAACCCGCACAGACCTCAAGCGGAAGTATGCAGACAAAAAGCAGCTGTGATCATTCCTTGGTATGCCTTTCCAGCTGTCTGTGTGGTCGTCCTTCTCGATTTGGTGCCGGGGCGCACCATTTTTACAAAACCACATATAAACCAAGGAACAACTACAATGGACAACTATGACGAAAGGCGGAAGTACAACCACTTGTACGATGCCTCAGACAAATTATATAAAGATGCCAAGGTCTATGCCAACTCCTGGAGGAGATCAGCCAGAACCTGTTCCTCTCCGATGTCTAGCAACTGTAGATCCATCTCCTTGACCGTGATATCTTGCAAATGCCTCATTGTTGTTTTGGAAGATAAACACTCCCGCCTGCTCCGCCGAAGTTCTCGTAACCATCCGAATAGGCTCCCCCTTGCACTTTGGCGGGAAACTGCTACGCGTCCCTAGAAATTCCAGACCAACGGTGCAGAAGCATACCAGCAAAACTGGTTTGCGACCAGATCCAAGCGACATTTGATGTGTGCAGTTGCAGAGGTCTAATCTGCCCTTAAAGCTGAGTAAAGCAGCGTCAGCATTTAAATTCCTCCGTTCGTCCCGCATACTGCTCTGTTGTCTACCACTATCTTCT